AGACTTTTCTTTTTTATCGTTCATTATTTTGTTTTCTTGTTTTAAATTTGTTTTACTTTTGATTTTTGATTCAGAAATTTGTGTTTTTTCTAATTTAGTAGAATTTTTGCTACTATTTGTCGATTTATTACAATTAAGTGTTGGAAATAGTTTTGAACACATATTAGATCTGGAGTTAATTTATAGTTGTGAAGAAGACTGCGTCGATGTGACAGCATTTCAGTCTTGCACTGGGGGTCGATCACCAGGTTCTTCGTCACGGCGTTCTTCAAACAGCGCAATATCTGCGCGAGTCTTATCTCTTTGTGGTCGGAGGTGTCTTCTCTGCACCGATAGGTCCTGATGTCCTGTTTGCAGGCTTTGGCCAATCCGTGCGCCACTTTGTAGTCCCTGACGGCCAAAGTCTCCCTCTGGATAAGCTTCTCGCGACAGCCGCGGCTCAGATCGCGTTCGAGTTTGTGTTTCATAAGACACCGATAGACGCGTCCGTCGCCCGATTGGATCCGATGGCAGAACTTCTCCCTATCGTCACGACACGCGAAATACAGGCCGCGATCCAAATGAAAGTCATCGCTCTGTAGTTCAGCGATCCTCAGGATCTGGTGCTTGCATTTGGGCGACAACCTGTCCTCCGACTTCTCCAGACACTCAATGGTCTCGCCCTGAGTGTGAGTCGACTCCGAGTTCGTGTCAAAGCGGCTGCACTTCAAGTCGTCGATGTGTTGGCACAAAAGTCGGTAAACTTATGGATCAGTCGATAGTCACTGAATATAATTAACTCCATTTTTGTCAAAAAATTCTTGCACTCGACGTCCGTCTCGGGAACCAATAGCTCGATGAGACACGACATGAGATTAGCGCTCGGACTCAACACCCGTTCCTCTTCGGCGTCCAAACAGTCGGCGTTTTCGGTGATGAGTTAGTTGCACACACTTTTGGCGACACTCGCGAACCGGTTGTCGTTCGTGAGGTTGCGTTTGTAGGACCAGATCAGGTGATGATTACTTTTCCTCATGAGTTGATGTCTTCAAACACACCATTCATTGAGTGATTGTTTGAAAAACACATTTCAATATTAATAACTAATTTCTCATTATTTCAAGTGTTGTTTGTTTTGCTTCCAAATTAACTTATTTTAATCTTTTATAATTAAATTATTATTATTTGGTTACAAAATGTAATTTTGCATTTTATTTTAATGTTTTTTAATAATCCGTTTTTTTTAATTTAAATAATTTTTAAAATAAATGTTTGCACACCAGAATGCTTTTATCGCAATATTTAAAACAATCTTTTATTATACAACGGGTGCAAAGAGTGTCGGTTCTCGGAAAGACGGTTGAGACCAATGTGTTGCCGGTTTCAACATCGTTATTCATGTATAAAATAAATTTTTCATAAGTGTATACAGAGCTGATCGGATACGGAAATTTAATCGTGTATAATAGATTCATTTGTCTTGATTCCCATATGTACACCAGTTTGGTTGAACAATTATTGCTTTTAGTGTCATTTGCTAAGGATACCACCACTTTATCATTGTCAATCAACTGACCAATGGTCCCACAAACGGCTCGTTGATTCATAGCAGAGTCTTTCTCCATAATAGCCTCAATTGTGTTGAATATTATTGTATCGTTTTCATTGTCGTGCATAATTGCATAAAAACAATTGTTCGTTACCATCGATGTAGAAATGGTGCAGACGTCTATTTCTAAGATCAATAACGCGTCAATTTGATAGGTATTGTGGTGACTTTTGATTGAATTGAATACAATCCGTCGCCCACACGTGTGTATAGCCAATTGGTACTCGAGATAATCAGACTCCAAGATGTTGGCGCTGACAATGCTTTCGTAGCCAAGATTTCCCATTGGTCTAAGTTTGACTCCAGTTGTGTATAGAATACGACTTATGTTCCCATTGCCTTGAACATAATAAGCTCCCAAGCGGGTCTTATATACTCCAAGTATACCGGGGATACCATTTAATTCGAGATCGAGGTCGTCGAGTCTATTGGGAATCATTGTCTTTTTCCCAAAAAAGTATATAGAATTAGTGGTACAGACCACTATATCATGCTTAAATATTCCGCCGTTTATAATTGTGATGGGCGAGCCGTCGGTCTGTCTTCTTTTGATGTTATTTTCTCTGTCATTTGAGTCATACATAATCACGTCTCCAGTATTTGAACCCATCATTACTTTCATATCGTCCATTGCTATGACCGAGATGTCTGTGAATTCGTCTAAGATGTCCACCCGTTCAGGCCATACGAGTGCTTTCGGGTGTCTGATCCCTCCCATGAGAGATAAATCGGTTTCCCATAACCTGGTGTTATCTGTTTCGGTCATTTTGCTTTTCGTACACGAGACTTTTGCCGAATTTGTACTAAAATTACGCTTTATATACGGTATATTTATAATTTATTTTGTGACGGTATTTGCCGAGTCGTTAATTAACCGGCCTTTTCCATAACACCCCAGGCACAGCAATTAAGCGTACTAACGGGCGTATAAGTCTTTTCACCGTTGGGCCGAAACGACATTAATTATTATTGGAATAAAAAATATAGCAAAAAATGGTAGCGTGCGATATGAAAGGGACATTTATCCCGTATCGCTGACCAACAAATGATATGATTAGGGCATTCTTTTC